AGGAAAGGGAGGGAGGGAGGAAGGAAGGGAGGAAAGGAAGGAGGAAAGGGAGGGAGGAAGGAAGGAAGGAAGGGAGGAAAGGGAGGGAGGGAGCGAAGAAGAAAGGAGGGAGAGAGGAAGGAAGAAGGAGAGGAAAGAAGGGAGAGATAGAGGAAATGCTTTGTTCCCGGGAGGCCTGAGCCTGTGGCCCACAAAACCATAGAACTTTCTTCACCTGCAAAGATGAATTTCAAAGTCACTCCACTAGGTTCTGCTTCACAGAGCCTCAACGAGATTCCCGTCCCCCACTGGCCACACGAGTGTCCTCAGAGGGAGCAGACGCAGGTGGAGGAACCCCTTGTGACGGGCAGAGAAAACACAGCTTCCCTGAGTGCCCGTGGGGGTGGGGGTGGCGGTGCCAGAGAGGCTCTATAAAGGCTCCCTGGCCAGAGCCTAGGGCGGGCAGTGGCTTGTTCGCCTTCGTCCCCGGACGGGCCCACAGAAATGGTCCTGGCCCCGTGGGTCCTCAGTCTGCTGGGCTCAGCCTGCTTGGTGTCGGCCAACATCTTTGGTGAGTTGCGGGTTCAAGGCCAAGGAGCAGAGGGTCTGGAGGGAGCTCTCGGGTCACAACCCCGACGTCAGTCAGCCAGGCTCTGCCCCTGCGCCTGGGAACATTTGTGATCTCGTTTAGTCCCCACCGTGTCCTGTGGACGGTTTTCCGATGAAGAGACAGTGGTTTTGAGAGTCGGACTAAATTACCTTGAGGGCACGGAGCCAGCGACTGGTGGGAGAGGAGGTGGGAAATCAGATCTTCCCAATTCAATTTGAGCTCAGCCCACCCGATCCTGTTAGTGAGTTTTGGCGTTGATACCTGGTTTTATTCCCTTGGCGGTCTCGGGCCGAGGTCATCCACACGAGGCGTTTGAGAAGTCATCGGCAGGTAGTGAAGAAAAACCACAGCAAACCAAAAACCACATCCACCTGTGTAGTGAAATAGAGGCGGTGAAATAGTGAGCAGAGGTTGGCCACTTGCTGTGGGACTTTGGATAAGTGTCAGCTTCCCTTTTCTGTTTGCAAAAGGAAGACAGGGACACTAACCTCCCGACGCGGTCGTGATCTCCAAGTGCGTGCCTGCATGTCACATGTGTTCTCAAAGGAGAATACGACGAGGACGCCTGACCCACAGGGGTTGCTGATTAATTTGCATTCCTGACCTGGGCCGGGAGAGGCACTGCCCACAGGGAACTGCTTGATAAATTCAAGAACACCGTCTTTCTGGCGCTCGGACGCCGTGGTTCGGGGGAACGCAGTGTCTGAGGGTTGACTTTGAACCCTTCTCTTTGCAGCTGTGTGACCTCGAGCAGGTGGCTTTCACAGTGTTAGTGCCACGTGGGGAAGATGCAGGTATCACCTCCCAGGAGAGGTTGAGGGTTAAATGAGCTAAAGTCCTACTTGGAAACGTGTGAATCGCGAACTTGGAAACAACATTGCGAGTCAGAACGTAATTGGTGCTGATGACGCCAGGAGAGCACCTGTGCTGCAGGGACCCCCATCTTTGCTACTGGAATCCCATCCACACCCCTCCTTGATGAGCTGCTTCCCTTTTCCCAGAATACCAGGTGGACGCCCAGCCTCTACGTCCCTGCGAGCTGCAGAGGGAGAGGGCGTTTCTGGAGCGAGCAGACTATGTTCCTCAGTGCGCAGAAGACGGCAGCTACCAGTAAGGCTGCCCCAGCCCTGTGCACTCCTGGGGCCCCCAAGAGACCTTAAGGCCCCGCACTGAGCCCTCACCAGCCCCCCTCCCCCCCCAGAAACGTGACAGGTGGCTACTGTCAGGTGGGTGGGGCCCGCCTCTAGGTTCAGTTCCCCCAGGCTAATGGACTGGATAATATGACCCAGAGCGCCCCGGTCCCTGTTTCATCCCAGCCAGGGCCAAGAACTTCTCTTCTTTTCCTGCCCAAACTTTCAGCCCATTTCCTTTTTTTTTTTAATGTTTTGAAATGTTTATTTATTTTTGAGAGAGAGGGGAGGTAGGGGCAGAGAGAGAGGGAGACGCCGAATCTGAAGCAGGCTCCAGGCTCTGAGCTGTCCGCACAGAGCCTGATGCGGGGCTTGAACCCACAAGCTCAGAGATCATGACCTGAGCTGAAGTCAGATGCTCAACCGGCTGAGCCACGCAGGTGCCCCAGCCCATTTGCTGTAATGAAAGGTTGGGGGGGGTGGGCGGAGTGATTTCTGCTTTGGCGCCTCTTTCCCGCATGTGCTCTTGAGAAGTCAGAGCTGGAGCCAGGGCTCCTCTCTGGAAGGGGATTTGGGCTGCCCTAATGTGAACTCGCATCCAGGACCCTGTCCCTGTAGAGTGGAGAGGTAATCTGCGGGAGGGTGGGGGATACCCTGCAGGGGCAGGGGCTAGTGACAGGTAGGGGCAGAGGTAGTGGATGGGAAGGGAAGGCCCCAATGAGGATGTGGGACCTGGGTGGAGCAGAATGCACGGGGATCCTTCATGCGGGCTTGGATGTTCACTTTCCCTGCTATTCTGGTCACACCGGACTCGGGGAGTCTGTGGACTGTGCTCTGGGAACCGCCCCCCCCCCCAGGAAGCATCCCCACCTCCCTTCATTTCCTGTGCGTTCTCAGCACTCTTCCCCCCTCGCAAGAGCACAGAGACGCTGTGCTCTGCTCCCTGCTTGGGCCTCTGGGAAGGGTGGAGGGGCACAGGAGGTGCGGGAAGGCTCACCTTTGCCAGCCCTGTTTATGTCGCCGTAACGTCGTGACCGGAGCCGAAGCGGGACCCTTGACCGACTGAGCTAGGCCAGGTGCCCCAGTTTCTCCCTAATTTAATTGAATTAAAACTTGACAGAAGGGAAAGGGAGAAGGAAGGGAAGCCGGGTTGTGGCTTTGGGGCCCAGTAACTCTGTCTGCGTGTGGTGTCTCTCTTGCCTGCAGGACAGTCCAGTGCGAGGATGACGGTGGCTCCTGCTGGTGCGTGGGCGCCGAGGGCAAGGAGGTGCCTGGAAGCAGGCAGCCCGGGCGGCCGGTGGCCTGTAAGTGCGTGAGGGGCCGTCCGAGGGAACGGGGGTCTCCCTCTGGCTGCTGGATGTTCCTCTTCCAGTTAGGCTGGGGGTCCCGCACCCGAGGCCCTACTTCCTGAAGGGCTGCAGTGAGAATCCAGTGGGACAGTCGGTCAGCTACTGAGCTCAGGGGACACTGGGGGCCCCTGGAAGCGGGATTAAGCCGTATACACCTGGTGTTTCTCACATCAGGTGCGTCTCAAACTTGAGACTTCGGTGAACTCTTCACTGTTAAAATAATCATTATCGCGAATAGTGGAAGACACGCAGCCCTCCCCGCCCCCGCCCCCGCCCCCATAAAGCATGTCACGGCTAGGCCTAAAACAAAGTTCGCTTCAAGCTGGTCATCTTAAAATGTGTGATTGAGCCCCGAACCAAAGGTCTCCTTTAAGGAGGAAAGCTCCGTTTTGGGTGCTGGTTGTTTGCTGCCAGGCTTGCGG